CCCGCAGACGTCATCATTTGATGCTCGCTGAACTGAGAGCTTGCTAGCTTTGGAACTTCAAGCGTGAGTGTGTGAATCTCAACAGATAACAACAACAACACCTCTTCAGTCAATTCGCACGGACACGTGTCTGATCGGGGAGCGTGTCCCCGCGTGCACTTTATCTCAACAAGATGTTGCCCACACCCAGGCGGCGCCTCGCCATCTGGGGACAACATTCTCGCCTTTTCAGTCAAGTTTTTTTTTTTTTTTAAATTCAGCCCCCAAAGCGTGTCTCGCATGCTGTGGCAACAGCATGAGTAGAACCACAAAAAGTCGCAAGTCTGCCATTTTGGGCGGAAGCCGCTATTTCGGGCCATTTTGGCCATTTGCAGTACCCTTCAAATGCAAAATTGTCCGGGACCGGTCTGGCTTTTGTAGGGCCTGCCGGAATCTTTTGAAGAGAAGTTAGACCCCCCCCCCCCCCAAAAAAAAGTCTCAAGAAGCTATCTTTGACAAGATGGAACGTCGGATGTCATCCAGGCAGCACACTGACCGTTTTCAGGGTCCTTCAAAGACAAACTTGTCCAAGAGATGAAATGTTTTGCGCCAGAGATTGATAGGGGGCCCCCTACTGGCAGAGGGACGCCAGCATTTTCAGCCCTTGTTGGGCATGAGCTCTTTCTTGCATCGGCTCCCGCCCGATTGCGCAGGTGTTCCTAACATTGGGGCGAGTCAGGGCACATTTCAATCCAAATGAGACCCAACTAAATGTTCTGATTTTACATCCTAACTGTAGCATGCATCATTAATGTGCGGCAATGATTGCATTGTTGCTTGGGTCTTCATTAGCCTTCATTATGACTCGAGGACTTCCATGTGGGGATTAAATGAGTGCGCCGGGTTTTTTTTTTTTTTTTTCCCCCCCTCCCTGTCTTGGTTGTTTGTGTGTTGATTGTGTGCGCTTGCCACGGACACCGTCTCATTTCTGGAAAAGTCATAATGAGCCCAGATGAGCGCTGGTGAAAGGCTTCAACCTGGCTTCCCACCTGCTCCGCTCCTCCCTGGCCGCTCCCTCTCTTTATTAGCCGCTCCTCCTCTTCCTCTTCCTCTTCCTCCTCGTGTGTTTACCACTTCCCTCGCTCGCTCGCTCTCTCTCTCCCCACTCTGCTCCATTTCCTCGCTAATTACTTTGCCGAATGCAACCAACCTCACGGCTTAATTGGGGAACCGGAACATTAGGTGATATCAGAGGAGCCTTTGTAAAAGAAAAAAAAAAAGTCAACCAGTCCCATTTGAGGACGCATTAAAAAATAAATAAAAAAAATACAACCCCCCCCCCCAAAAAAAATAAAACATCGACTTGATTTGCCTACTCAGCCCCCTAACATTTTCCAGGCGACGCTTTTGCCCCAAGTGAGCGGACTCATACTCGTCTATATGTACACACACACACACACACACACAAACACGCACGATATATATATATATATATATATATATATGCCAAGAAGGCAATTTATTCAGCAGCGCTGCAGCGAGCGCTCCTGACACAGTGATTTATGAAGCTGCTCATTGACCCAGTTCATTCGGAAAAAGAGAAAAGGGGGGCACATCCTTTCTTCGAAGCGACAGATCTATCGCGCCTGTGCTGACTCCGGGGCACTTTGGGAGGGCTGCGGTGACAAAGCAGCTCACTAAGATGATTTGGCTTTTTAAGGAGAGAAAACGAAGAAGAGGAAATGAAACAAATCAGCCTCAGAAGCAAAATTTGCTCGGCCTGTCTGTTGTGAGTGCACCCGTGAAAAAAGAAAAAAAAAAAAAAAAAAGAAGTGTCAAGAAGCCATCCCGGAAAGCACGCAGCCAGTCTGACAAATTGATGTGAAGGGACTATTTTAAGGTCATTGGGATGTCGTCACTATTTTTATCAAGACAAATTTGGCTCAAAATTTCACCCACCCATATCGGACAGATGAGTGACGCTTCATCACGCCTTAACATTTCGCACAGTCAATTTTGAAGGTTGTGTCTTAAAGTGGATACTTAGCAAGATCCAATTTTGGTGGGCATGTCTACCGTGAGTAGCCCCACAAAAAAAATCTCAAGAAGCCATGCCCCCAAAAGTAGACGGGGAGTCTGTGGTTTTGGTTTGAAGTTGCCATTTTGGCCCATTTCCAGGTGACCTCCAATGACAAACCAGATTTTGTTAGATTTTTTTCCCCCCAAATTGAGCCATGTACACAACAGTCTCAAGTCAACCATCCATTTATTAGCATTGCACCAACAAAACATGTACACACCACACTCCCCCAACATCGCTCCTATTTAATAATACAGAGGTGCCTTTTGGGGGCGTCGCCCCACCCACCTTCCTCTTTGCTCCACATTTCCTCTTTTTTTTTTTTTTCTCTCCCGATGCGGCACCCAGTATGATGTCCGGCGTTCCGCGGACACTGACTTCAATCTGTTTCAGAGCTGCAATTCAATTATCTCACCGGGGTCCATGCTCAGCCACTCGTGAACGGGTGGAACGGCGGTGGGGTGAGGGGGGAGCGAGGGGATAAGGTAGTGGATCGGGGGCAGGGAGGCTGGGACGGACTGATCATGGCTGCAAAACCATTTTAACACAGATAGGGATTGAAACGTTGCTTTTTTTCTTGTGCCATTAGCTTGAGCTTTACAATAACTGGAGGGATGTCGGGGCCTGATAAAGCTAATCACCGTGGTAAGCCAAAGGCGGGGAGATTAAGACTCCCACCAAAACACACTCCTCCCCCCCCACAAAAGCCCCCCAGAAGATCTTGGTTGAAAGAGAAAACGAAGAAAGCACTGAGCCCGGAAAATGAGCCGGCGAATGTCTCATCGTGAATTTGGACGGCGATTACGAGGTTATTGCGAGGGGCATTCAATAAATAAGGTGAATTTTTTTCGGGATAAGGACGAATACAGATAGAAGCTTACTTTTTTTTTTTCCTCAACGTAATTTCCCAACACTGTCACACACTTTTCCCATCTAGGCACAAGCTTCCGTCATCCCTCAGCGTAAACATTTTTGGCCCGATGTCTCGTTCAGTCGCTCGCTCGCAACGCATGAGGAAGCAGCTCCCAATCCAGCTCGTTGATGGTCTGCAGCGTTTGGGCTGCCGCGTGAGGCCTTGCGTTGTCATGATGCAAGATGACTCTGACCTTTCTGACCCTCGTATATGACGGAAAAAGAAAAAAATCTTGTTGAATCACCTTTTATATTTAATGCCGAGTCATGCGATGTTGTTTCCAAGGTCACGACACAAACTCTGAAAAACTGTTGACTCCTCCATCGGGTACGCACGCAATAATTTGTCGGGGTCCTCACGAGCATCTATCCAGCCTGCTCGACGTGTTTCCCTCCTTCAAATCAGCCGATGTGAACGATCGCGATGGCGATCAGGCTTTTTTTGCAAAGATCGCTAATGATTTGAAGCAGGTGCGTTGGAGGAGGGAGACCTTGAAACCAGGCTGGATACGAGCTCTTGAGGACCCGACTTGGGCACCCTTGTTCTATGGCTTTTCTTCAGCTGCTTACACAAAAGAGGGTGTGTGTGGAGTCCGGCTGAGAAAATATGATGAGGAGGGAGAAATCCCAAATAATCCACTGAGTCCATCTATTTTTGATGAATTTTCATTTCGGGCCCGAGAGCGCCTCTTACGACGATCAATAGATCAAGCTGCTGTCGCAGTGTCGCACCTGGGGAGGGGGGTCGAGAGGTCTTCTTAAAAGGCCCAGGGGGAAGCAGGGGGACTCGATCAAAAGGTGGGCACCACCCCCCTGGCCCCCCCCCACTATATTCTCTCTCCCAACACATAAGCCAATTTCCCGCAGATCACAAGGCAGCAATAACTGGAAATACACTTAAAGGGAAGTAGAAGATGAACTCGGGGCGGCGGAGGTGCTTAACGAAGCACAAAGAATCGTTGTGTCCTGTGAATGGCTGACAGACAACAAGTTCGGTCAATTAAACTGCAGCCGCAACCGTATTAAAAAAAAACATTGCGGTGGAATTATGTTTTCAATCCCAAGTCCTGCAAAGCCTCGGGTCTCTGAGCCCCATTGGAAGCCCACCTGAAGCTCTTCTTCAAAGGTCATTTGATCTAAGGATCCCTTTATATATTTTTTTTTGCCTGTCACTCGCAACTGGCACAACCTGGGCAGAAAAAAAATAAATATCCATTAAACTTTGATCCGCCGCTGGCGGATTTGCGTCCAGGTTCTGAGACCTGCCAACAAAAGACTGGCCATGTTTTCGCCGTCGCGTCAAAGCCCCCTGTGCATCTGTCAAAAATGGCCGCCTCAAACCAAAATGCTCGACTTTATGCTTGGGTCATGGAGAATTTTTTTCTCGTGATGCCTTAGGTGAAATTGTCCTGCTGCTGGAAATGGGCAAAATGACACCTCCCTCCCTCCCCCACCCCACAAAAAACATGACAACCCGTCATCTTCCCGTTCAGTCAATGAAACTGGTGGCAATTTTATCCAACTTTCCAGTGGGTCCTATACAGTGAGTTATGGGGGGGAAGAGAGTGGGGGCGGGGGGTTGTATTCCGGAGCCCTTGAATACCTATTTTCACCCGGATACAGGCACTTGGCTGAGTTTCGGGGTATGTAGAGGCCCACACTGAATTCTCTTCGATTCATGTAGCGCTGAATGACAAGAGAAGTTGCCTCAGGGCACTTGACCCGTGGAGCAGATCTAAGACCACGCTCCTCAAGACCACGAACAGACTCGCTGATCCCGACATGAGTCGGCACGACGCGGCAAAGAAAACCTCCAGCAGACCCCAAGACTCCCGACAATCAATGCATTTGGTGAAGAATCATCACAAATGTTTCCAAGAGCGCTTCGGTACCACCGAAACCAAAAGCGAAGCACGATGAAATGTCTGAAGGTCAATTTACAAAAGGACACGTGGAAGAAACCGAGTCTGGACTCACATGCGACTTCCAGCGAGGCGTTGCGGCTGACGGCCTCGCCCAGGTAGTTGCGGGCCACGCAGACGTAGGCGCCCTCATCGGGTTTGCTCCGCCGCCCGTGCACGATGCGCAGGAAGAAGAGCGAGCCGCTGGGCAACAGCATGCGGTGCGAGCGCGGGTCGTCCTTGTCCGTCTCCACCCGCTCGCCATCCTTGTACCACTCCACGCTGGGCGTGGGCCGGCCCTCCGCCTTACAGTTGAGGGTGGCCGGCTCGCCCTTGGACACGATCAGGTCAGAGGGGTGCTCCGCGATCCGGGGCGGCGAGTCCTCCTGGCGCAGACGGGATCCTGGAGGAAAACGCGGGGGGGAGGGGGAAATGGCGTTTAACGTCCAAGAAACACCAGAGAATCGACGGCCGGGGTTCACGTCAAAGGGCAAAGTACAACATGTTGGAAAGAGCCGGCGGAGGGAAGTCATACATTTCAAATACTCTGCTTGAGTCGATATTTCTGGTATCGGTACTCGACTGGAGCATCTACTTTTCTTGGGTCCCGCAAATGTAGACGAGGATAAGATTTATGAAAACACGACAAGAGTGACCAAGTACGACAAATGACGCTGTCAATGAAACGAGGCAAACCAGAAACGCTTGCTAAAGACAAGGAACGAGAATACGTAAATTGCTCGTCCACGCAAAGGACAAAGAAATCCAGTGGACGCCTCCTCCTCTTTGGCCCATCCCAACTGAACCGCAAATATTTCAGAAGGGAAAATTCTTGTCGTCACAAACATTCTCCCAACAAAGTGACCGTCATGAATTCTGTTCAGATACACGTTAGCGCTGACAAAAAGTCACATGCCGTCAATTCTAATGCTGACCAAAACAGCAGCACCCACCGAGGCACGGAAACAGTCTCTCGGGTGAATTCCGGGGTTCCGCGCGACTCAAAATGTCAAAAAAAGTCACTTCCCCTCCACACGAAGTCTGTAACCAAAACTCACGAAGCTACACGTTGCTTTGCCGTGGGTTAGACCCTGCATTAAAAATAAATACATTTTAAAAAAGCAGATCCTTTAATCACCAGTTGAACCTGGACAAAAAGCAACCATCTGCTCTTTGCTACACTACAAGTGCAAGCTTGTGGATAATTGGACCCAAGGGTGAATAGTGAACGAAGGCATAAAAAGTGCCCGCGCGGCAACAACGCTTACAAAAAAAAAAAAAAAAAAGGAAGGAGATATTTCACCACGAAGCGCAAACAAGTCCAAAACTGTTGAGTGCACCGTTGTCAAGATGGTCGTCCGACGTGAATATTTATGCCGGGGGTTTCGGCTCACGTCGAACGTTAATCCCCCCCCCACCCCCACCCCATCCCCTCGGGGGGCGGCGAACCTTGCCCTCCTCCCATTTTTTATTCGGGATGGCAGTGGGTGAGCGTTGGGAGTCTGGCAGCCAAGATAATACTCCCTGAGTCTTGACTGCTGCGCGCGTGCGTGTGTCCACGAACATATTTAAACGGCGGAAGCCAAGGGAGCCGCTTCACAATCAAACAGCCGGCGGGCCGCCATCAAACGGCAGAAGCCGTAAAAGAAAAACCGAGCTCTTTCAACTTGGGGAAATGTTGGATTGGCTTGGCAGGCAAAATGTTAATAGCCCTTCTGTCATGTTACGGGTCAAATTGACCCCTGGTAGGCAGCTAAATGTTAACCCTCCTGTTAAGTCGCAGGTCAAACTGACCTGTGTTCAAAACAAACAGTGTGGTATCATCATCATTTACATGGTATGTTGACACAAGAGCCCCCCGTGCGTCAATATGTCTATTATACCACCTGGGGGGGGGCATATATCTTTGCATTATACGCTGACATTTGTTTTTCCAGATGATACATTCATTTTTATCCCATCTTATTTCCATTGAATTCAATTAATCAGCATATTGGGTAGACAGAGAGAGCGAGAGAGCGCTCAGGGGTGCCCAACCTTTTTGGACGGAAGATCTCCTTTTGATCGACCCGTGACCACGCGTGCCATTATAAGCAACAGCCATCACGGCCCGTAACATAAAGGAAACAGAGCAGACACTGCACCGGTTTGCCTGTTGATCAGACAGAAAACAGAAAGAAAAATGCAATGGCTCACATTGACCCACGAAAATGTTTGGCCTCACGGAGAAACTGTCATTAAAAAGAGCGCTGAGCTGCTTTGTCTTGAAATGAGTTGCCGCATGTGTGCATGTCACGGAGGCCAGTTGGTGAGCGTGCCCTTCCCTGAGGGACGCCCCGCGCTTGCCGAATAGGATGTGGCGTCGCACGTCGAAGTAGAAAGTGGGAAAGGCCTGCGCTTTGTTTGGCTCAGTATGCACATGTAGCGCGAGCCCATCCACTTAAATCTCCCCGGGGGGGGGAAGCCTTGACAAGCTGCACTCTCCCCAATGGTTTCAGTCCGTCAGGTCTGCGGCTCGCACGCGCATTCATGACTCCAGTGCCTCGCTTCCAAAGAAGCCGGTGGCATATTGACCCGTGAACAGAAGGTAGTCTGGACTCCCGTCTGCCTAATTTGTGCTAATTCCTCCCATTTCCCTGCCATTGATTGGTGATCAGGCCCCGGTAGCTTGCTAAATGGGCCCTCAGATGCGGCTGAGCAGAACAGAGCTCGCTGCTGCCGCGGTGCATAATTCAATCCTAGCGCCGTTTAAAAACAGACGCAGAGGGACAGAAAGTGAGTTGCATCTGTTCACCCCGAATTTGCCAAGCCCTGGTCTTTGGGGAAAGACCAGGGCTTGACTCAGGGCCTTCTTTGAAACTCAACACCGGTAAACCTATTTGACTTCCGTTCAATCAATCTCTGTCCCGTCCGTCCATCTCGTCGATGCATCTGTTGCCGCTCTGCGGGTATTTGCTAAAACATGACAGGCCTCGTGATTGACTGGCAATCAGTCCAAGGTAAAAAAAAAAACAAAACAAATAAATAAAATACCTCTTGTTCAAAGTCACCTTGGAGCGGCTCCAGTTACCCGCAACCCGAATGAGGACAAGACTCTGAAAATTGGATCCAGGGCCAGATATGAATGTTGATTGTCTGATCGGTGTCTGGACTCGTCATTACGCAGAGTGTCTCTGCCCGTGACCTTGCAGCCAGGCTGGGTCCGAATATTTCAAACAACGACATGAAGTATTTAGCCAAAAGGTAAGCAGAGCTGCGGTCTCAACACATATGAGTGACAGCTTCTGAGAAGCGGGACATGCTCACATGCCCAGCAGAGGTGATGACCTGGTCGGGTGCGCAGGCGTACTTTCATGCGCCACACGCATGCCTCTGCGAGATTCAAGTACAAGTTGGTGGCTGAGTCATGAAGTGCTGCCTCCACGAGTGAAAATACAATCCATACTTTGACTTTTACAGGTCTTGATGCTTTTTCTGCAGAGACTGAAGGCCTTGAGGACAAGCAGCAATGGCCAACTCTCGGAGACAGGACCGCCCACCCAAAACAGGCTCATTTCACGACGAGATAAACAACGTGAAACAATGTGCCATCATTCTTCTGATATTTTGACAGAAGCATGTTATAAACGGACGGATGATCACGACACCTGGCAACGGTTTTAAAGATTGTTTTGGATGCAGAATAGGTCGCCTTCAGCGGTAAACAAAGTGTGTGCGCCCTGCCCCGCCTTGTCCGTTGGCCTTGCGCAGTCCTGCTCTCATTGCACTAAATGCTCTTTTTTTTCATGCTCATTGCTGCCGTCTAATCAAGTGCTCTCTGAGTTTGGGGCGAGTGCACTTCACCGGGTCTCAAGGCACACACGCTGGAAACAAAACCCCCCCCCCCCCAACCTCAGCGCGAAGCAACAAGCTCTCTGTTTGCAATCACACTTGCAATAGTTTCACAGCCAGTCAGCTCTCACTGGAGGCAAACGGGAGCCCACAGACCAGCGAAGAGCTAATGAAATCAGAGAAGGATTACTCAACCAGAAGCCTGCCGTCCCCCCCCCCCCACCCCGATTACTTCTGGCAGCCTCACTGGAGTCCGCTGTAATTTCCCCCACAAAACAACAAGCATCAGACAAGCTTGTGGTGTACAGGGTTTATTTAGCATCTTTTAAAGGCTACAGCTGGGAAAGAAAAAAGAATCTTGACCACACACACACACACCCACACACACACACACACAAGACGTGGTCTTTCCCATTATTCCCGTCACATATTTATTCGTGCGGGCAACAGAAGGCGCCGAACCTTCGATGATTTTTTTCTAATCATTTTCATTAGCTCCCAGGAGAAATTTGAGCCCACCGACAAGAACGAAAAAAAAAAAAAATCAATAGACGAGCGCTCCTCTCCGACGGCATAAAAACGGAGGAAGGGCTCCCCTGAGGGCGCCAACAGACGTGGGCTGTGGTCACAGGGACCCAATAGAAGCCACAACCTCACCCACAAACTCCAACATTGACAGTCGAAACATTAAAAAAATCTGACGTAAAAAATAAACCCCGAGTTGAATCCAGACAACGTGGACGGCGAAATTGCAGGCAAAAGCCGTCAAGAATGAGAATTGTCAGAGGACACGGCTGACGCACTCGTACACGCCGCCGCCGCCGCCTCCTCCTCCCCCATCTCTCGTCCAGCGGACTCATATCCGTCATGTCGCCGCGGAAGGAAACGGCAAAGGCGAAGGAACGACGTCCCTGACCGTGCGTGACTCCGAAGCGGTCCGCCATGACGCTTCAACGCGACGGGGTCGCTCAACTGAGATTCATCTTCCCGGCTTGTCAGCGGCGAATGAACTACACTCCGTTCCGACCCTGCCGATGGCAAATGACCTTCCCGTAGGTCTTTGAAAAGTGCGGTGGAGGAATATTGCCGCTTTATTCAGACCGAGAATCATTTCTATGCAGACGTTTTTATCCTTCAGGCGCTCTTGAAAGGATTTGTTGCGTCATTGCAGTGCATACAAGAGCAGCCCCCGCGCTCGAGTCTGTCCTCAACAGATCTCGAAACCCGAATCTGTCCTCAACAGATCTCGAAACTGCGAGCAAACACGGGCGTAACTCTAGAAGATACCCTGCTCGCATCCCAACAACGATCAGATGGAGCCGCGGCATATCGGCGGCGTGCTTCGTTGCCGCTCGTTTTTGTCCTGATTGAGTTTGACCGGTGAGGCTTTATAATCAAGCTTCATCGTCAAGTCCAAGCGTGTGAATTTCCGTGATGGCGTGTTTGCATTCCCGTGCCGTTGTCCTTGTGCCGTGCACGCTAACGCAGCTGCGTTGGGAGAAATCACACGCACGCGCCCACAAAACAAAACAAAACAAACACAAAAAAAAAAAAAAAAACGCTCAACATTAG